CCCCCAACTAAGGAAGAGATCGTGGTGGAATTTTAACATATGAAATTAAGCAAAATTTGCGAAGAAATAGCTCATTAATTTTTTAACTCAAGTCTATCATAAGACAGAGGTCTTAAATTCGAATTGTGAAAGACGCAACATAAAGCTACAAGGGGTAAGAGGGAAGATTCCCTCCCTAAACTGATAATATAACGGTTTGAACATAGAGACTAGGTCACTTATGCTATAGGTTGATCATGCCCTACTCGAGTGTGTAACCACTTCCATTGAGTGTGCAAATGCCAAAATGGCTCATAGGACAATGTCAATTCAATTGTTAGCCAAGCTTGTGTCGTGACTTACTTTTAAATGTATGAGTTGATTAAACTCGTCTAACTTCACTGCATATAGGGATGGCAACGAGATTGGTTTATCATTCCCATCCCCCATTCCGTATAGTATTTTTTTCATCTTGCTTGCCCTATACCCAGTTAAGGCAGGGCGAGTACCTTATCTCATTTATCGACACATTTATTTTTTATTTTTTATGTCTTTAGTAGATAAAAAATATTTTTTTCCCATTTTGCTAAGAACAACCTATGTTATCTTTAGAAATGATGATAATTCTTTTCTTCTTATATGGATTGAGATAATTTTTAAAAGGGCGGAGTTCATGTTTTCCGTACTCGTCCATACCTTGTTTACTTGATTAGACAGATAATCACCATCCCGTTTGGGGTCCCGCAAGTATTGGGTTTATTGAATTTTTTTATCATCACTAATTGTATATTTGTGTTGCTTGGCAAACCCCTTGATATATGCTATTTCGCATGGTAAAATTTATATGTTAATTATAAACTGTGAATTTTCAACCACACATTCTAATGAATTCACAACTACTATATATTTATTCATCTCTCATTTCTATCTATTATAAGTTAAATTATTTATAAATTATTACCAAATGAATAATTGTTATTTGATGATTAATCACGTGATTGATAGTAATATTGCACGTTCACCAATTTTCGATAAACCACCATGGGGATCCTCGTTGCCAACCCTTCAAGATCCATAGATGTACATCATCCGAGATTTAGAATAAGGATTATCCAACTTAGATATGATTGCCACCAAGTAAGGTTTAAAAACATATTTTAATGATTTCCTTAAGAATTCCGGGACGATCACGTTGATGCGTGTATATATATATATACACACAGAGGTGGGGTGTTTGACTTTCTTGGATAGAATTGAGAAGTAGGGAGATAGGGAACATTATTGAATAATTAGGGGTTGTTTTATGGAGATTAAAATAGATTTTTAGTAGATTTTGATAAAAGTTGATGGAATGTGTGGTTAAAAAGTTGTGGAACCAATGTAATATATGGTTAATATTGATTGTTTGACTTTGACTCAAATTAAAATTTGATTTTACTCAATACCAAACATGGACTACGTATTACGTTGACGGAACTTAACGTTGAACTTAAACATGATAATTAAGTATATCGCATACTTCCTTTCGCTAATCATATCTTGCACTCGTAGGAATCAATAAGTGCATGTTTTGTTATGAGGATCAACGCGCCTAAATTATATTCCAATAATCAACATTTTACATGGATAAAAGTGAACAAAATTTCAACTTACCGAAATTGAAAATGTAGAGTGGAAACGTTAAATGTATGAATATTAATTCGGTCGCAACAAGAGTTTTGACTTTTTCTCCTTAAGGCGATAATGCTCCAAACAAGTACTAATGATTTTTTGACATTCGTCTCCCAAAATACAACGATCACTCCCTGCAATAGGAGCACCCTAAATTACGTGGACTTGCGAACTTACTGATGTTTTGAACTTTCGATATATGAAACTTGACTCAAAATAAATGCAGCAATTATTTTGAAATGAGTATGCATTAAAGTGACATTGAAAGGATGAAGTGATAATGAAAATTCAAACATATGAGGTCCATAAATAGCAATCTAAAAGTTGTCTCGAGACAGTGCTTAATGAATATCTAAAAATACATGTTTTGCTTGAAATTTTTTGTTTAAAAGGACACGTCTCTGTAATAAAAAGATGAGATTTTTGAAAAATATTATTTCAAAAAGACCCAACTCTTCATCCAAATAAGTTCTAGAATATTCCATAATAATTTTTCAACAATTTCACGTAAATTTGGCATTATTTTCCCATTCAGCTACTAATCCACTTATATAACATTTAAAAATTGGTCAAAACAGTTTTTTTATACAATTTTTAAAAATCCCCACATAAATGAAAATTGATACAATATGTGACACTAAAGATAGTTCAAGAAGAAAGCTATCATGTCGGGATACATACCTTATGAGATTGAACTTTCCATAGTGGAATATTATCGAATTTACTTGGCTAATCAGTGAAAGTAATGTCTTGAATTGTCAATCATCGGTGTAAACCAAGACCATAGTACCACAATAACATTCCCAATACTTTTGGGTTCTCACAATTGTAGTTTTTGGCCTTAAACAATTCTTGCTTTGAAATATTCTCATAGAAGTGACCCTCCTTCACAATTACATAGGTGCTCCCTCATTAAGAGTGCTCGCCAATCATCTACTTCATTTGTCTAAGCTATAGGATTCATTAAAAGTTTAACTTAACCTAAAATATTTTGTAGATAATACTTTTCTTACTCTTGAAATGTGTAGGACTTAACTCTCAAGTGCTCATTAAATGTTTATAATTTAGTTGTCATATTGAATCAAGATTTTGGAATCTCCAGTTAACAAAGTTGAGTTACTACTACAAATACTAACATAGTGGACTTTTCAGTGCATTCTCCTTGATATGCAGTTTACTTGATATTTTGTTAAATCTTTTTGTAGTAGATCAACGAGTTTGCACTATTTGAGATCAACTTCTTTATGACATTCTATCTATGATGTATATGTCTAAATTTACAATTATGACATACTGTATCTTATTAAATATACACTACAAGAAAAAAGATCTTTTG